CTGAGTGAACCTCGAGCTGGCTACCTGAGCCTGGGGTCGAACTCAAAGTTGTGAGCAGAGTCTTCGCTGCAGTTTAACCACTGTGCCATGGGCAGACATTAGAGAGGCTGTGGACATTTACTTTTTCTAGATCTTTGTGGGAGGACCTTGCAAGTGACTCCGAACCCCTTTGGAAGGACCAGAGAATAATTCCCACGCCAAGAGAGGCTGGCCAGCAGCACTGACCAGCCTGGGGTTGCCATGTGGACCAGACCAGATGAACAATTCCTAAGCCAATTCACATGACCATGCTCGGTTTTGAACCGCGCAGCCCAGAACACTGACTGACAAGGAACGTACCTGAAGGGCTACCAGCGTGTTGGCAAGCGCCTGCCCGTATGTATCGTGGCAATGGACGGCCAGCGCTTCAACCGGCACCTCCTTCATGACGGCAGAAAGCATCTCCTTCATGTCACCAGGAGTTCCAACGCCGATGGTGTCGCCAAGGGAAATCTCATAGCATCCCATTGCGTACATTTTCTTGGACACCTGTCACAGACAACGGCACGTTTGTAGGTGAACAAATTCATTTCCAAATGTGACCAGCTTTCTCACAGTTGAGAAACACTCAGTCGTTCATCTTCACATCTCCAATGCCAGTAACCACACTACTCTCGGTGTCCGTATCATTTTGCAACCGCTGTTTTGTAATCCTTACAAAGAAGCCTCTTTCTCAAGTTAGCATTATAACCCCTGCATGACAGGTGGGAGATCAAAAGCCCATTTTTTGTCATGATGTGCCATCAAAGGGGTGCCCTGGGACCAACGTGCAGCTGGCCCAAGGCTACCCAGGCTGGCTCTTCTCCCAGGAGGCACAATGAGGGAATTGAACTCCCAACCTTTGGCTTTCCAGCCAGAGACCTAAACCACTGAAAAAACTCTTTTTTGCTCTTCCCACATATCTGTGACCTTTAATGAGGGGGTTTAACCCATCACTTCCCATAAACACCCTGGATAATCCTGCAGGGGCACACAGGGGTCCTCACAAGATCCCCTTCTGATTATCCATCAACTCACCTCTGCAACTTTCGAAGGTGCAATCTTCCCTTCATACGGGCAGCCCAGGACACAGGACACATACCTGCCGGCAGAAGAAGCAAATAAGTTTTATTACACCCAGCAAAACTGAGTTTCTCTTTCCTTCCAAACCTGCCACCCTTCTCTCCGGAAAACTCAAGGAGACGTAAAGTAAATTGACTGCCCCCCAAGTCAAAATATGTTCTTAATCAGAGATGGGCTGTTTGTGCCGGCTTGGCCCATAGCCCAATGGGTGTTTGGCGCCCTGGCTTTCCTGCTCCACCTCCTCCGGGCATGGCTTCTGAGTGGGCAACCACTGGACGGGGCAGGGCACCGAATTGCGGAACACCAGTTGGGCTGTCAGATGAACCTGCGTGAACCACCGAATCAGCAGTTTGCGTCCATCTGCATTCCCGACACTCACCCTCGGACTGGGATGCTGGCTTCTTTCGCTGCGCTCAGAACATCGCGAAACCTTTCCAGACTTTCCTCTATGGAGCAGTTGATGTTTTTCTTTGTGAAAAGCTCTGAAGCCGCCCCAAAGATCGAGACCTCCCGGGCTCCTGCCGCCACCTGCCAAGACACGGAGAAAAAACGTACGTATTATACTTTCTCAGAACAGACTCAGATGGCGAGAGCTCAGGAAGAAACTGAATCGAGTTGAGAAATGAAACCCAAGTAGTCGCAGGCAGAAGAAGTTAGCCAAACTTTAAATAGAAGTACAACATCTCTTGGAATAAACCACAAACCCTAACCTGTTCTCCAATCATGGAAAACAACTAAGGAAGTGCCACACTGGGGCATTACGGTCAGAGGTACAGTTTCTGCTTTCAGAGCACTGAGGCAATGACATCAGGGAGTCTGCATTGCAAGGTTCTCTTACCGCTGCTTGAAAACCCTTAAGGTTGGGGGTCAGAACAGGATAGCTGATACCGGGGACCTTCCGGATGCTTTGCATGACTTCAGTGTGGTCAGCCATCTAAGAGCAAAGTCGAAAGCACAAGGCCAAGAGTTAGAACTTTTATGAGCGTCAACGAGAGGCACGCTAGTCTTCCAAACCCAGGGAAATCCAAGATGAGAAGAAACATTCAGGATGAAAAAAACAGAGGCAAAGGGAAGCGCTGTGAAACATGTTCAAATGTAAGAGGTAGGCTTACTTCACGCAAGCCAGATTCCTCATCTACATTCTGCTTTCACTATTTACTGGGGTCTTTCAGGAGACCCTGAAAATTATCCAAGCCTCCAACCACACAGAGACAACAAACCTCGGCCCCCGAAATACAAATGTATTCTATCTGCTAGTTTTCAGAAGTGTTTCTCATATTGGCAGCATTCTGGAGGGGGGCATAGAAGGAGCATCCCCAAAGAGTGACAAAGCATTGTGAGTACATTTGGGTGTCCCGCGGGCATTGAGCTGGCAAATATTTCACTTGAGGCGCTGTGCCAGAACAGCGCCAAATCCATCCAATTGATAGACACCAAACCCCTGGATGATGGCTGAAGTTGAGGGAATGCTTCTGTGCACATCTCAGACTGACTGCTTCTGGTGTCAAAAATTGCTGAATGGGCTCAACATTTTAATTGGTGTTTGATTTTTGCCTACACAGTAGCCGCCCTTGCTATTTATGACTCAGACTGACTGCTTCTGGTGTCAAAAATGGCTGGATTGGCTTGACATTTTAATTGGTGTTTGATTTTGCCTACACAGTAGCCCCTCTTGCTATTTATGAGATCAGTATCCACTGATTCAATTATCCACTGCCTGGAAATACTAAATTAAAAACCCCAGAAAAACCTATTTATATATATTTCCAGGATGTATTTACTAGGGGGAGCCAGAGATCATGCAGTGTGTAGTGTCCAATACTTTCACATTTCTGGACATCTGCAAGGAAGGGGGTTGGAACCGATCCCCTGCAGAGACTGGATTCCACGTGTCTCCTGATTCTGAATTGAGCAATGATGAAGAATAAAGGAAAAAGAGAAGGAACATTCCAGTTCGACATCTCTCACTGACCTGCGGGACCCATTTTGCTGACACAAAACTCGTTGCTTCTATGACGGAAAGACCCGTTTCTGAGAGCATGTTAATTAAGTCGATCTTCACCTGGGTGGGGACGAGGTTCTACAGAGAGAAAAGGAGAGAAATCTCATTGGGCTGCAATTCAGTGATGCTCATTCTGCTCCGGACATTCAACCAGACCTGTTCGGAAGAAGGAAGAAGTACGGAAGTGGATGCAGGAACACCACAACCAAGGAGGTCATGTAACAAGCAGTTGTTCCCAACGTGGGGTCCCCAGATGGTCTTGAACTATAACTCCCAGAAACTTTCACCAACAGCTGTGCTGGCCAGGATTTCTGGGAGTTGTAGTCCAGGAACATCTGGGGACCACCTGTGCAACAAGGCAAGGAGAGACTCTCTTATCAGAAAGAAGGGAACAGGGATCCATGAGATCTTTCCACACTCTTAGAACACAAAGGAAAAGAAAAAAGACATTGTTATCACCCTTCACACACTTTCACTTTTATATCATAACGGACTCTGGGCCATCAAGACAGGGCAGGCTATTCACACCAACAAATAAACAAACGGGCAGGGCACAGGTAGGATGATGCAGCTGCCTTTGTACCACCGCGAGTTTTGCAACCCAGACTAAAGCACAGAGTTCCTCTTTTGCAACCTGCCAGCGCAAAACAGACTTGGCCGTGAGTCACTCTTCAAACAAACGAGCTGTCCTTCTGTATATTTACAGAGTTTCTTCGTGTTCTCCCTCCCAGGTTACCACGGGGCAAAAGGCTGCAAACACGTCAGAAAACTGTGCTGCTTTATCCAAGCGGGGAGCCCGCTGATTCGACAACTTTCAAGGGAATTTCGACAAATAGGAGAAAGATTGCCCAAGGATTACCTTCAAGTTCAGAACTGCAATAACACGGGATCCTACATGCCAAAGACCAAGAGTGGGAAAGAGCAGCTGGTGTTGACTGTGTGAGCTTCCCAGAGACACTGCGATCTTGGGTTATCCAGATGGGTGATCTGATCTGCCATAATGTGCTTACGATTTTTACTTGGTTTTGCATTAGATCTGTAAAAGCCTGTCTTCATGAAGTCTACATGTACCACTAGCATCTCCTCCGGTAGGACTTCTCCCCAAAACAACGACATGTGTCAGCAAGAACCCACATCTTAAAAGCTGAAAAAGCGGGCCATCCTGGAATAGCCACAGAACCTCAATACATGGTAGAATACCTAAAAGCTGTCTGTCCTGCCGGCACATCCCAGGCCGAAAAGCTGAGGGTCTAGCTGGGAGAATCTTTGAAAAGTGTTATGTGTCAAACCATGAAGTTTGCAAGCACAAAAAAAAAGAAAAAGCCAATTTACTGCAGGAAAAAAGAAAAGAAAAGAAAAGAAAAAGCCAATTTACTGCAGGTTTCAGACTCAAGACAAATCCAGACTGGCAGCCACCTTTTTACCTTTTCATTCTGCAGCCCATCCCTTGGTCCGACTTCAACTATTTTCACATGTTTAGGAAGCGAACCAGCTGCTGATGAGCTGAGCTGTAGAAAAGAGAGGAGAAAATATATATATACATAACCATCAATGCCATACCTTTGCACATAGTACTCTTGTGTTCTGTTTGGTGTCTGGCAGTTCTCTCCTGAGTGTGTCTTTATCCCGCTACCTGCCTATTTATATCCTTATCCCATGACACCCACCACAGCTCCCTTATTCATTAAAACTAAAGTAAATGTATTCCAACAATAAAATTAACATTTAACACAAACAAAGAAATCAGGGGACATTTTAATAGTGAAAAAAAGACATTTAAAAAATACAGCCCCCCTCCTTCGCGCGGTGTTAAAACAAAAGTTGGGGAACCTCTGATTTAGGGCTCCGGAATTAACATTTAACACAAACAAAGAAATCAAGGGACATTTTAAAAATACAGTAAAAAAAGGACATTTAAAAAATAAAGAGCACGGTGTTAAAAAAAAAAGTTGGGGAACCTCTGATTTAGGGCTCCGGCTGCAGAGCCAGGGGTTGGGAGTTCGATTCCTCCCTTGTGCCTCTTTGGCAGAGGCTGGATTCAATCATCCATAGGGTCTCTTCCGGATCTGCAGTTACGAGATGATGATGATGATGACCCCACATTTAGGGAAATGGGCGACCAGGAGCCAGACAGCTCTCTCTTCCCCCGCTTTGCAACCATAACCCACCCACCCGCAAAGCTAGGGGCCCCTCCAGCTCCCCCCCCGACGATGATGATGATGATGATCATCGGGGGTCCCCCTCTTCCCGGGCCGCCCACCCACCCAACTCACGGATCGCAAGGCGACCACCAGCCTCGGGATCGCCCGCTTGGACGCCACCATCTCGGGCCCTGCTTCGGCTCGGGTCACATGACTTTGGAGGGCTTTGCCCCGCCACGTGACGCCGGGGTGGGCGGGGCTTCGGCGACGGCGTGGGCTGGGAAGGGAAGGATGGCTGCCTGTCCCCCCCTCCCTCCCTGAGAGAGGTGGTGGGGAAGCCCCCGAGGCTCCTGCCCCTTCTTGGGGGGAAGCATCCTCGGGGGGAGGAGAATCCTGTGCCTTCGCAGCTTTTCTCGGCTCTCTGGCCTTGGGGGGGGTGTCTTTGTGTCCCGAACAAAGGGTGCCCCTGAGCATGTGCAGAATTCGTCCCTGAGAGACCTGGATTGGGAAGGGCTGTGCCCTTAGAGATGTAAAATTTCCATATTTTTTTTTCAGGAGAAAAGAGGGAAGAAATGGAAATTTACTGAAGACTCTTCAGTAGAGATGTAAAGTTACAGAAACTCCCCTTTTCCTCCAGAAAAAAATATAGAATAATATATATATATTCTCTCTCTCTAAAAATCTATCTGTCTGTCTGTCTATCTCGTGCTTTTCCTGCCATCCTGCCAACCAGCTAAAACAGGCTACCTCTCTGGAAGTGATGGCAAAATTAAATCTGATGCCTGCACTTACATTGTGTTTGCACCAACGGGCAAAAAGATGACCTGTGTATCTATCAATTCTGTTAACTTTTAACTGTTAAGAAAGCTGACAAGGGGAAAAAAATTATTCATTTGAAATGTGCTGGAGGGAACTTCAGACGGCTTCTTTACACAATAAAACCTTTCCTCTACATCAGTGGTCAGAGAACAGGGGTAAATTACCCCAAATGGGGTAAAAATGAAAATCCTGGGGGTAATGAGGATGAGCAGAGCCCCAATATTGATGCTCTCATATCCAATATGAAGCAACATCGTTTCTCCAAAACCTGAAGTTTTCAAGTACAGTAAGTTGAAGCTTTCAAAGTAATTCTGAATAGATTCAATAAGATTTTGAATTCAAATAATGTATGTTTTCCTTCCTTTCAAATCAAGGGGGTAATGTCGGTGTATATAATTTTTTTTTGGGGGGGGGGAAAAGGTTAAAAAGTTCCCTCACCCCTGCTCTACAGTGACAAGGGGCAGGAGAGTCCTTTAAAGCCATCGGCGGCAACCATCCTTTCCAGTTACCCTTTTACCCTGTGACTTCTGTCCTCAAAACCAGCCACTTCCCCTTTATTCCCCTTCCCTCTCTCCCCATAATCTTTTCACCTACAAATCGACCAAGCTCTGAACTTTCATCCTCTATAATAGCAGGGGCTTTAGCAAGATCTGTTAAATTCAGCGGGACTTCCTATGGGTGACTATGACTATCTCTTTACTGGTCTGCCTCCTTTTGTTTGTTCATCCTTAAGTGTTGAAAATCCATCTCAGGTACAGAGGAAACTGCTTTACCTGGTCACTATTGTTCTATCTGGTTTAGTATCGCCAACTCTGACTAAATAGTGGCTATTCAAGATTTCAAGGATTCATTTCTACCTTTAATTGGAGATTCCCCTGGTAGTCTCCATCCAAGTACTAGCCAAGTCCAATCCCGTTTATCAGATGAGAGCGAAATGACAGGGTAGCTCAAATACAAGTATTAATGGGCTCAAGCTACAACAAGCCAAATTTAGACTGAAGATCAGGAAAAACTTCTTAACTGTTAGAGCAGTACGACAATGGAACCCATGACTTCGGGAGGTGGTGAGCGCTCCAACACTGGAGGCATTCAAGAGAAAATTAAGCAACCCTCTGTCAGATCTACTTTGATTTGGATTCCTCCTGCCTTGAGCAGGGGGTTGGACTTGATGGCCTTCGAGACCCCTTCCAACTCTATGATTCTATGAAATACCATCTCTTCAAAAACACTTTCTCTCCATTTTCAAAGCCTTCAGACTCATCCTTAGCTTCCCAGCTCTCAGCTCACCCACAATGAAGTCTGCAACTGCAAGCTTGAGCATCAGTAGGACAAAGGAAGTATAATCAAACTTAGTAGGACTTCCTTCTGAGTAATTATGCTTTGGCTTGGCTTATATGGACTGCAGACTGTCAGCTTTTCAGGGGACAGGAAACATGCACAGCAGTTTCCATTGTAGAGCAGTGGGTCCTAACATTGGATTCCCAGATGTTCTTGGACCACAACTCCCAGAAGCCTTCACTACTAGCTATGCTGGCCAGGATTTCTGGGAGTTGCAGTCTAAGGACAGCTGGAGACCCAAAGCCGTGAACCATTATTGTAGACTGTTAGATATTGATGGCTGTATAGATTATAAACATTATTTAGTTGCTTGAAAACAAGAGATGGGGAACATCGTCCAAATGGTGCTGGACAGCAACTCCCCTCACCACTGGCTATGCTATCTGAGACTACTGGGAGTTGTAGTTTAACACCTGGCACCCACACGTTCCCAATCCCATGAGTAAGTCAAACTGAATTGCTTTGCCTTCATCATCCCTCATTAAGAAGGAATGCAGCCAATTTTGCTTGCAACTTTTCTTCCAAACAGGGTTAGAATGGCCAGCAAAAGAAAACTTTAGGCCTGATCCTGCACGTGCACATGCATCACTCTTGCTGCATTCAGTGCAGCTTACTCCCCGAGTAACTATAGGATTACAAATGAATCCTGGGGCAAGGTATTAGAAATGTTTGACTTGTTCCACCTTAAAACAAATCCTAAAATTGTGCCCCAAATCAGAAGACCGATGACACGAGTTGGTTCCTTTTTTTTTTTTTGCCATACCTGTCCCATAAGGCTTCCTCTTCGTAAAGGTCCCATTTTTGCACACTGGTGTATTCTGCTTGTATAGAGCTCTGGTGCAGCTTGGCTTCCCCAGCTGGTGAGAAGCACGGCTCCATGTGGCTTTATACAAACTGCTAAATCAACAGAAGACCCTGGATCTGGAATCTTATTTGTTTTGGCTCTCAACCTGCTAGCATTCCTTGTGGTTCAACAATCTGCTGCCGTGAAGGGTCTCTGTCCTGGTCCTACAGGATGAAACAAAGGGGTGTGTCACTGCTCATCTCCTTCCAAGGTTTACAAGAGCGGTGGCCCAGCATTGCCGTTGTACACGTGCTGGGCACGTTGGGGGCTTCCAGCGTGATGCAAGAAGAGATCCATGCCAAAAGCTGTTTGCCAACAGTGGGAGATGACTGAAAGAGCTTGGCACATATTCCTAGGTGAGAAGGCTGATGACATCAGTTGGTCAAGTCTCGCTTTGGGTACTATCCAATGTGCTCACCGCTATTGCACAAGACCACAATCAATGACTGAACCATGCCGTCCACTGCAACCAATGTTTTTCATAATAACAAGCATCGCCCTGATCTTTTGCCCTTTGAAGTCTTAAGAAATTCATTAAAGGAAGGGATGAGGTTTGGTTCAGAAAAAAGAGAGATACAGTGGTGCCTCGCTTAACGATTACCTCGTTAAACAACGAAACTGCTTGACGATGAAGTTTTTGCTATCTCTTTTGCAATCGCAAAACGATGTTCTAATAGGGGAAAAATCGCTTAATGATGATCGGTTCCCTGCTTCGGGAACCGATTTTTCGCTAGACAATGATTTTTAAACAGCTGATTGGCGGCTCTAAAATGGCCGCCCGCTGTGATTTAGGACGGATTTGTCGCTTTACAGGCACCGAAAATGGCCGCCCCTATGGAGGATCTTCACTGGACGCTGAGGTATTTAGCCCATTGGAATGCATTGAAAGGTTTTCGATGCGTTTCAATGGGCTTTTTCATTTCGCTTGATGAGGATTTCGCTTAACAGCGATTTCAACGGAATGAATTATCCTCGTCAAGCGAGGCACCACTGTACATGGAGCAGCAGAATGGCAACCAGAGAAGGCCGGCCCCACCTGGAGGTGGAGGTTGGCTTTGAAGATGACGGAGCTGCGATTGTGCAGCTTTAAGCATATTAAATCTGTGTTACAATAAAACAATCATCAGCCAGACTTTAAAGAAACTGCAACATCTTGTTACAGCAGTCGAGGCATCACCAACTTTGATGTACTTGTTTCTCTCCTCTGAGCAAGCAGGTAAAGAACAGCAAAGGCAGTTTCCAACAGAAAACACAGAGAGGTCAAGATGCTGTTCACAAGCAATACTTTCGGTCTGGTATCTCCTTTTGGCTTTTCATGGTAATCTCCTTTCTCTCTGACCTGTACTTTCCTCAATTCAAACCCCACCTCAAGAAAATGGCCTTAGATAATTAGCCAACTCATCATCTCTACTATTAGGATAATCATACTTAAAGGTTCCCCTCGACATTTAGTCCAATTGTGTCCGACTCTAGGGCGCGGTGCTCATCCCCGTTTCCAAGCCGTAGAGCCAGCGTTTTGTTCGAAGTTTCCATGGTCATGTGGCCAGTGCGACTAGATACGGAACACCATTACCTTCCCACCGAGGTGGTCCCTATTTATCTACTTGCATTTGCATCCTTTCGAACTGCTAGGTTGGCGGGAGCTGGGACAAGCGACGGGTGCTCACTCCCTTGCGTGGATTCGTTCTTACAACTGCTGGTCTTACAACCTTGCAGCACAGAGGCTTCTGTGGTTTAACCTGTAGCGCCACCACATCCCTTTAATCATACTTGGCCGAAGTTAAATGCCAACAAAGGGAACTTCTTAATCCAGTGGTTTATGTATGCCCTTGGTGTACTTAGCCCATGCACAGTTACTCATTCATAGGGTCACCATAAGTTGGAGGCAACTGGACAGTAAGTAACTGATAGTTCAGTGGGAGCTGCTGGAGAGCTCTGAAGTGTGATACTTCTCTCTTCAAATGCTTATTTCCTCTGGCCAGAGGTCCCTGCATAAAAGGCCTTTCTCCCACAACAGAGGTGTGCTAGCTTTTTCCTGTCGGCCGGTTGCCACAAATACCGTAGCTTTCTCCCACAACAGATCCTGCTCAGACACGGCCCATTTTGTTTACGGGACTCACGTGTTGCGAAGCCTTTTCTATAGAAAAACGCAGCTTTTAAAACTTTTGATTCCTGTGTTTATTTAGAAAAAAAATTTTTTGGGGGGGATATCTGAAATCAAATACAGAAAAAAAAATTATCAGAACCAGTACCACAACAGGTTCACACCAGGATCAGTTGGAACAAAAGGACGCACAAGATTAACATTCAAACACACAAAACAGTATAGAGTGTGTTCCTTTTTGAAAAGTGGCTTTGATCCCTCCTCTCCATCTCTCCTTCCTTGCCTTGGGCGACCACTGGGTGATGTGGAAGAGGCAGAAAAAGGGGGGGAATTGTGCCATAATGGCTGAGCCACTGCGGCGCGACACTCCAGTGCCACTGGATGGCTCAGCAACATTGTTAAATCCCTCTTTTCCCTCATCCTACGGAGGACGTGTGTGGATAAGCGCACTTCATATATATTAAGTAATCAACTGGCGAGATAATCCTCGCAGGGCCGACACTGAAGGGAAAAGGTTCACACCTAGTAGCCTCTTCTTTCGCCACAACTGCTCAAGAAAAACTGGATCCTAAAAAGAGGCCTTGCTTAAGAGATGTATTTGCAGCTTATGTGGCTTTTTGTTTTTTTGGACCACTCCTACGGAGGTACTCTATGGCCGTTTCTTCTTAAAACAAGGCACCGTGCACGAAATAGCCGTCCAATTTGTTTGTACAAGGCTGTAGCTCAGAGAATGGAGTCCAAGTCCTGAAACCCCCTTCCTGGTCTTTGTAGTTTGCTTGTCTGGAAGAGATCGTGTGTCATGAACGAGCGGAGAAGAGGAAGAAAAGCAGCTCACACACCAAAGTGTGTCCCAGTCAGCCCCAAGAAGCGTGCAGAAGGCCGGGCGAGAGGTGCCTCTTAAGCAAAACACCACCACACGGCAGATAAATGAATGACTGTGCTTCTTCAAGATACTCTCTGCCTAACAGGAAGGTATGAATGCAGGACGCAAGCACAAGAGGGCCCTCAGAGGTAGAATTCACTAAATGTGAAGGTATACGAATACCTGAGAAAAACAATTTTTAAAAAAATATACTTTAAAATATATAGGGTTCCCATCCAATTTTCACATCCGCATCCTTGAGGAAGTTCTCTTTTTATTTGGATCTCACTCACCTGGAAGCATCCCTTCCGTAATCCTGACAGGTTCCTATTATAATGTCACTTTTGCCCCCCAAAACTAAGCATCGTTCCCCTCAAGTCTCTGTACCAGCTGAAAATACTTGGCATTGAACTCTCTCTTGCCCTTTGGTGCTGGCGTACCTAATGGCTCGCTACCCGCTCTTCTCGGTCAAGCTGCGTTCCTCACCCACTGGATCTTAACGGTTCGGGAGCTCGGCTGCGAGGCTTCTCCAGCTAACCGGAAGCAAAAAAAATCTTTAAGGAAGCTTTCAAGGTTATCACCATCGGGAGCCCAAGAGAGATGCGCTTGGTGCCTCAAAACCCTGTGTCCGGACTCGGATGCTAAATTTTAAAAATTCCCATGAAGGCTTGGCCTGCTTGCCTCTGCTCCTCTGTATTGAGATCCATTCTGCTCAGGAGAAGTCATCATAGCGGTTTTTCTGAAGTTTCCAGACACAGTTCTTCTACATGCAAACCAGGTTAACACGTTACAACAAAGGTTTGGATGTGGGTATCAGCCAAGTTGAATCACCCTGGATGGATTTTTCGGACCATCTTGATTAAAAGGCAACATCTGGAAGACTGCTAACATTCAACAATTTCCTTTCATTTAACGGCGCATCAATCATGAACCCCATTCATTGATCATGGTGGCACCAAGCTCTTAAGAGCGAGAGAAGGAAAAGAAAAAGCACAAGAGTTCCTTGATTCTCCTTCAGCTGCTCGATCAAGCGATGTCGGTGAGCTTGACTGTCCAGCCGGGCTGCAGAGGAAGAAGAGAAGGGATGGCCGAGGGCAAGGTCACCTGCAGTCCTTTGCCAGGCAATTCCTGCCACTTCAATGGTCCAGAGAAGCCCAACATAGTCACCTACCAGGAAGAGAAAACAAGAGCTGCTTCTCTGCTTTACGGGAAAGACATTCTGAGATACCCAGCTAGGCAATAAGACCACCCTCTCTTATCAAAGAACGCACCATGTCTTGACTCTTCAGGGTTAGGATCAAAGAACCGCCTAGCCTAGAGCATCACAATTTCAGAAATATTTTCTGTTTAGATTTTCCAGAAAAAAAACCCCAACCACAGTATACAAAATGGCAGTCTCTGAACTTGTCCGAGAACATTTGGGAGGTCATAAAGACCCTGCTAAAACTATTATGGTTCTAATGCAACAGCAACTCATGCTAAGATTGAGAAAACCAACCTCTCTCTATTTTTTTTTCAAGACTGTTGCAATCAGGAAGATAATGGGAGGGGGGAATTCAGCTTTCTCATCCATAGGCATGAAGGGCTGGCAAGCCCCCGATTCCCAGGTTTGAGGCTCGATAGATCTGGAAATTCAGGGTAGTCGCCCTTCCGCTCTGCTCACCAAGAGGCACGGAACGGAACTGTGGGCTTCACAAAGAACGGACGTCTACCGCTTAGCCAGGCTCCAGAAATGTTGAAGTGTCATGACTGCAGAGCACAAGGCAGGCCCCATTCAGAGGCTGTAGGAGAAACCAAACGTTTTCACGGAGAAGCGTGTAAACACGAGGGTTCTACTCTCAAGATTGCCGGCTTCTGGAAAGCTAGCATGGCTGACTAAGGTACCTGTGTATATATATTCCTGCATTGTAGGGGGCCTGAACGGATGGCAAATCCTCTCCTGGGTGCAATTTTGCAACGGCTTCTGTAACGTCAAGTTACACGGGTGTAGTAGCTACGCAACCCAATTTCAGTTTTGATGACTGCGTTTTATATACTTATATGCTGGCTGTGGTTTTGTTTTCACCCAGAAGACTGGAGATAGGTGTGTTACATCGTCACCATATTCAACAGAATCCTATTATATTTTTACAAACGACCTCAGTCTTGGTGGCGAACTGCAGCAGGTCAAGAAGCCAGGAGGGGCTTCACTGCAGTAGCGGATGCCAAGTGGGTACCGAGATCTGTACTGACTCTGCTTATACCAGTGAGTGAAACTAGCAGGATTCTAGCGTATCAGACAAAAAGAAAAGAAAACTAAGAAAAAAGTGGCACCTGAAAGATGCACTGTTATATTTTAAAGTGAGCTTTCATGGAGAGGGTGCACTTCTTCAGCCAGGATTCTGGCCACTGACTTACTATGACTATTTAATATACTTTGTGGATGTAGTTTTACTGTGTGTCTCTTCCCCGACTGGGAACTGCTAGTGGTGGTGGGGAGGTCGGCGTCACCTGCTTTTTTCAAACCTTCTGCTTCGTTGGCTTACTTGAGTGCTTGACGACGGGACAGGGGACGAGAGCGTCAACACATTGCTTTCCGGCCAGATCAGGAAAATCGCATACACCGCCGCCCCTCTGGACGTGTACCTGGGAAAAAATAAGGGAAACCCTTGAGCAATGAACCACGATGTGAAAATACCAAAGCAGAGGCAAATCCGTCCATCTTTTCAGGTAATGGAGCAGCTGCTTGGATAACCTAATGCCTCAGCGGGTTTGGCCACCGCCGAAAGACAAGCCTACAGGTCTTCTCCCACATCAGTCCGCTCAGCCAGAGCTGATGAAAGCCTCAAAGTCCACCTTTCCATCTATCCTGAAAAAGCAAACATTGCATTGCAATCGGCCCTTTTTCTTCAGCTGCTGTCGTCAGCCATACGCGGGCAGGCTTGGCAGGGAAACGTGCGAAACTTTCCACCGGTTTCTTTTGTAGTGAAATCGTCCCCTAACATTATGGGTGACATTACGGAAAAGATAACTGGTTTTTCTCTCACCCTGTCTTTTGCTTCGGTTTCAGCTTATTACAACATAGGTGACTAGGGGGTGGAGGTGCTTCATAGTATGGTAGGCCTTCTCAGGGAACCACTAATAGGATGATAGAATAATTGAGTTGGGAGGGGCCTGTAAGGCCATCGATTCCAACCCCCTGCTCAAGGCAGGAATCCAAATCAAAGCAGATCTTACAGAGGGTTGTTCAGTTTTCTCTTGAATGCCTCCAGCGTTGGAGAGCTCACCACCTCCCGAGGTCATCAGCTCCATCGTTGTACTGCTCTAACAGCTAAGAAGTTTTTTCCTGATATTCAACCAAAATCTGGCTTCTTGTAACTTTATTACATGTCCTGCACTCTGGGATGATTGAGAACAGATCCTGCCCCTACTCTGAATGCTATCCTACTTCCCCTCATTCTTCTTTTCTCAAAGGTAAGCATGCCAAATTCTTTCTGTCTCTCCTCATAGGGCTTGGTTTCCAATCCCTTGATCATCCTTGTTGCCCTCTTTTGAACTTGCTCCCGTTTGTTGGCATCCTTCTTAAACTGTGCTGTCCAGAACGGGACACAGTACTCTAGATGGAAAGGTGAGTTATAAATCTTTCCAACAGATAAAAGTGGAGAAGCCATCTATTTTCCACCTTCCCCAGGTGGATCAAATATCAAAATTCCTCCAAGAAGAAGTTTAAAATACAATCACATTTTGAACAAAATAACTCAAATGTTTTTCAACCTGGCTCTTCCAAATGTACTGGACTACAATAACCATAATCCCTCCGACCCACCAGGAGGGAGCCTAGTTGGGAAGATTAAAATAATGGTAAACAGGGGAGATGCTTGAAGGTTTAGATGCTGTGGTCTAGCTCAAGTCTTGTCAATAAGTAAAACATCCAAAAAATAGCACAAGACAGAAAGAAAGGGTTCATCTGAATACCGAATAAGCAAAGGTCTAATGCCTAAGCCAATGCTTGTACATTTAATTAACAATACTCTGCCCTTTTTAACTGTGGAATCTGTAACACCAGGCGTCTTAAGTCAATACAGAAGCTAGTTCAGAACCACCTGCCCCCCAATTCAGAAGGATTCAGCTTGACTCTACCAAGTATTATCTGTTGCATTCTCTTTTTGCTCTCTCCAGGGGGTTGATTCATATATGGCCTCCCCATTGATGCTCAGCCACTTCCCGAGCGCCAGAAGCCTTTCTTGAAAGATGGGAACGATCACCCCTTCTTTCGTGGGCCCCACGTTGAGAAGATAGTTCCCGCCGTAACTCACAGTTTGGACCAATTCCTGGACAGCAGGAGAGAAAACACACAAGCACATCAAATCAGGAGGGAGAAGAGTCATTCCCACAAGAGAATCGTAAAATGGAAGAGTGTGTATATCTGAGCTACCAAGTCTAAGGCTTACCCTAAAGAAAGACACAGTCATTCTCCACCTGCTGTAGCTTCTGTCAATATCCCGATTCTCCACCACTTTGCCTACCTTGTACAGTGGTGCCTCGCTTAACAATGTTAATGCGTTCCAGCGAAATCACTGTAGAGCGAAAACGTCGTAAAGAAAAATTTAAAAGCCCATTGAAAACCATTCAATGTGTTCCAATGGGCTGAAAACTCACCGTCCAGTGAAGATCCTCCATAGGGCGGCCATTTTTTGTGCCTGTAGAGCGAGGAATCCGTCCAAAAACACAGCGGGGAGCCATTTTGAGCACCCGGCGGCCATTTTGAAAACCCGACGATCAGCTGTTTCGATCGTCGTAATGCGAAAATCAGTTCCCGAAGCAGGGAACCAATCTTCGCAAAGCGAAAAAACCCATTTAAAACATTATTTGCGATCGCAAAACACATCGTTGTGAAGCGGATTCATCGTTATACGGGGTAATCGTTAAGCGGGGCACAACTGTATGTGTTTCCTAGGAGCGGCAGCTGATCTAGCAAGAGGCTGAAGGGCCACTGCTTTGCTTGGCTTACTCTCAGACCTTCAGGAGTTTGGGGCACCTGGGAAGACTGCAGTTTGTCAGCTTCTCAGCCCTTCCATCATCACAAAACTCTGATACCTGGAACACCTTCTCCACCATGCTGCTGGCCTTTGCAAGCAGGCTGCCCGCCTCCGGTGACCTCCCAGGGTCGAACCAAGCCTCTGGTGCCAATTCTCCGCCAGAGCGCGGAGTGGGTGGGCTGCAACATCCCTGCTGAACGGCAAGTCTTTGCTCGGTTCCGATGCGCGGCTTACCTGAATGATGGCAGGCTCGTCCATGAGTTCATCGATCTGCATGTCGCTTCGGTACCCCCACGAACTTCTGTCGATAGAGCTGCACATCTCCCACTTATGGTCTGGCAGAGTGCCGGGCTTGTATTTGTCCTGACAATTATAATAGCCTCCGTGCCGGCAGGAGCAGTTGATGCCCCATCGATCATTCACCACCACTGTGTCCTGAGAAGAGAGATTCCCCGGGGGGGAGGGATAAGGGCATTCTGACTGACAGTAATTATGGATTTGAAGCAGGGAGCATCCTGCAACTGTCTTTGCTGCTAGACTTCAAACGCTCCACACAAAACACAGCCGACTGCTTCAATATAAAGCAGTGGTCCTCAACCTTGGGCCTCCAGATGTTCTTGGACTACAACTCCCAGAAGCCTTCACCACCACCTCTACTGGCCAGGATTTCTGGGAGATGAAGTCCAAGAACATCTGGAGGCCCACAGTTGGGAACCACTGATATAAAGGACCAGTCCGTGTCCCGGATGGACTACTGCAATGCTCTCTACGTAGGGCTTCCCTTGAGGCTGTTACCCCAGAGACTGCAGCAGATCTAGAATGTGACAGCCAGACTGGTGGCTGCTGCAAGCACATTCGATAACATACCTCTAAGTCCTGGCTCGCCTGCACTGGCTACCTGTTACATCTCGGGTCAGATTCAAGGTTGTAATGATCCCCTACGAAGCCCTTGATGGTTTGGGACCCGCTACCTGCCGCAGCATCTTTTCCCAATGCTACCTACCTGCACTCCTGGGTCTTTCCAGGCCATGCTCCTCCTGGTGGCCAGTCTGAAGGTGGCCAGAAATTCATCTGCCAGAAGTAGGGCCTTCCTTGCAGTGGCACCAACTCTCCGGAACCAACTCCGGATGAGGCTGTGCCTGGCCCCCCTCCCTCCCAACATTTAACAAAGCCCCCCCCCAAAAAAACACAGCTTTCCCAAGATGCCTTTCTCTGTAACCCTGCCTGATTTTTCATTTAATATGCCATTTGTTCCACGTTTCAGATTATGCCTCTTTTGAGTTTACTGGTTATTCTCAGTGGTGTTTTTATTTTAAAATAAAATAACTGTACAGCCAGTTTGAAGCGGGTTTAGATACCTTGACAGGACTGTCGTTGTAAAGCCAGGCAAGGAAAGCAGTTGAGTTCCAGTAAGTATCCGGAGCCTCCCATTCTCCATCAGACCAGATCAGATCCGGCTTGTACCTTCGATGCATATTAAGAAAATGGGAAAATTGAGTAATGAGTTACATCCTCATTATTGGGTTTTTTTTACTGAGAAGACCCACCAGCGTCTGGTCTCTTCCATGTTAAATAAGTTGAGTGACTAGACTATGTCTTGTTTTAAAGAAAAATCATACTTCACTGAACATTATTCTTCTTTAAAACAAGACACATGCTATCCATGCACCTTGTTTCACTATCAGCGAATGCAGTGGTGGCGAAGGCTCCAAAATCAAGCAGGGAACTCTATGCAGCCCACAGGTTGGCCACCCTTTTGCAATTCAAACTTACCAAAATAAGTTCTAGCTGTGGAAGGGACGGTGTGGCCGGCTAGCTGGACAGCTGTGATCAGTCAGTTGTGACTGCCACATGCTAGTAGTCCCCAAACAAGCCCCAGCACCTCTCTGTAGGCTCTTAAAATATTGGGTTGGCTACAGAAGCAGGAGATTGTCCCTACAAAGCCACAATTCTATGTATGCTTCCCCATAAGACCCAATTTATGCAACATGATTCATCTCTGAAAAAGTATGGGTAAGACACCAAGGAAGAGACAGAGGACCAATTATTAGAGATGGGAACAAACTGATAATTCGGAAGTTCGTGCCAGTTCGTTTACCAACTAAACAAGTGTTTGGCAGTTCATAGTCCCACCTCCTCTGGTGGGTACCCATTCAGAGGTAGTACCATAGCTTCCCTACCGTAGGCAGGGCTGGGAACCACTGAACACCTGTCTGACCAGTAAACGAACCGGTGGCTCATGCCCATCTCTACTTATGATCCCGGTTACTGGCTTGGCTACTAAGGGAAGCCAAAATTTGTAAAACACAAATTACAAAATTTGTAAATTTACAAAAAAAATTACAAAATTTGTAAAACACAGTACTGACAGCACTAGAGGAGGAAGGCTCAAGTGGCTTCCCCAGCTCTCTGGCCTTCCAATGGTAGCAAAATTAAAGCAGTCCAAAATGATGTTACTTGCACCATCCATTAATGCTGCAGAACTTCTACCGAAGTAAATCTGAACAGACAAGTATTTGGCACATCATGGGGGGGCAGCGTTAGCCAATACAGGTGTTTCTATTCCAAATGGACTGAATTCTGGTAACAAAACTAAAACAGCAGAAAAGTACCTAGAGAGGGATGAAAAATGGCAGGTGGATGTCAGCCAGAAAGGTGGATGTGTGAAAAAAAAAATCGGAAGCTTTCAGGCAAATAACTCTCTCTCTCCCCTTGTCCCTCCTTTTTTCAGCAGCAAAATGTTAATTTTTCTAACACTGGGAAAGACTGCACAACACCAAGTCAGGGAAGG